CGCACGCCTGCTGCGCGGGAACCGCTTGCGTCAGGGGCAGAGCGGCTCGGGCGCGCGCGGGCGCGTTCCCTTCGTTTGTGCTCTCGCGTGAGCGCGCGTCACCTCTTTTCCCGCCTGCTCTGCTTCCGTGGGCGGCAGGCGGTCCACAAGAGGGCCCTGAGGCGTTGGGTGGTGTGTCAGCACGACACAGCATACTTTTGTCTCGCTCTCAAATATGTGTGTACGAAACCACACACAAGAGCGTGTAGGTAGCTACACCTTTAGCACAACAGCAGTAGCAAGTGCACAATAGGCATAGATAAACATTTATAGTATATATACACACAAGCACCCTGCACTTGTGTATCTATCTCACAGCTTAAGGCAGCTGAATGAACCCCAATGGGATATATTTACCTTTAGCACAACAACAGTAGCAAGTGCTGTATACTTTACATATTGTGCATATTTATTTGTTTTTTAATTTTATTTAACTTATACGCTGCCCACTCTACCCAAAGGTCTCTGGGGGGGCTTACAACAATTAAAATTCAATTAAAATACAATAAAAGATAAAATGATTAAAATACAATTAAAATTGCCATCAGGACCCATAGTTGATGTGATTTCAATTAAAGCCTTCTGGAACAGGAAGGTTTTGACCTGGCGCCAAAATGTCATCAGCGTTGGAGCCAGACGAATCGCAGTCGGGAGGGCATTCCATAGTCTGGGGGCAGCTGCTGAAAAGACCCTTTCTCTGTATTTTACACACACACACACACACACACACACACACAAACACACACACACACACACACACACACAGAGAGAGTATATAAAGTATGTATATAATATACTGTACAGTACACTTTACTACCACTAATGAAGTTCATCAGAATGCAAAACAACAATGACCAAAATCCTGTTGCTTGCTAGAGTAAATAGCTCTAGCGTAGGCCAATTGAATGGGGGGGGGGTTGGTTAGTCAACTCCTCCATAAGTTCCATTGATTCTGTGGACAGGCTTTTGACCAGATCCGGAAAATCAAAACAAGCAATAGAAAGGAGCAAGCAAGAGAATACGATGCCCATGAGAAAGAGTGTCGAAAAGTTTAGGATCTGAGTTTTAGACAAACATTGTACTGGCCTGCTTTGTAATGTGTATACTGTACAGAGGGGATGGTTTAAGTGATTTAGCCAGCTTTGATTTCCTAGGAAAGAAGATGAGATACTAGAGCTGAATTTTAGAAGCCATCTTTGGGTCTGTCAGGATCTGGCCCACACTGCCCTGGCAGCTTCAGGATTGGGGCCAGCCTGACCCAGGAGTGGGCTGGTGTTTGCAGGATCAGGCCCTGGCCTGTGTAGCAGCTGTTGGGCCACTCATGAGGCTCACCTGGAAACCTGGAGGGAAGGCCTATTTAAGGAGTGGTTCTTCCTCCCAGAACTTGCCTGGGCAGCCAAGGTCTTTGGCCATGCTGTCCTTGAACCCTGGTGTTCCTGCCTTGGCTCCTGCATCGCTACATCTGGAGTCCAGCGTTCCTGAACCTGTTCCTGCTCCTGCTACCTTTTGCTGGTCTCCTGTATCTTCACACCTTGTTCCTGCTTCCGCTCCAGCAGCCTGGCTCCCCACCTGATGCTCTCCACTCTGCTTGGTCTTGGCCAGCTGGACAGTGAGTGTCTTTGGACTTGATGCCCTGCATGGTGGATTGGGTCCTGGTGCCCTTGTCTGTGATGAGAGGCTGGCTGGGATATCTTGAACTGTGACAGGGTCACAAAGATAACAAAACATACTGGCCCAGATCCTGTTGCTTAGCATAATAAATCACACTGGAGTAGGCACATTGGATCAATGGAGATTTAGTAAGCCTATTCCTCCATAGGGTCCATTGATTCAAATGGGTCTACTCTAACTGAGAATTACTTTAGGTCTTGTCTACACAGGTGGGCCAGAGTGAGTGAAATAGGGTTGGCAGGTGGTCTGGTAGTGTGATCCTCTAACTTGGCATGTTCTCAGATCTTAGATGGACAATCTTTCTGGGGAAAGGGGATAAAGATCTTCCAAATTTTAGTCACCTTTAGAGTGTTATGGCAGCAAGCCTGCAAGATCAGGAGGATTTGTTGTGGAAAGTTTTTGCTGCTTAGGGAGATGACAGCAGCTATTACACAGCAAGGGTAGACTGGTGCTCAACATGGGTTTTAAAAGGGTGCAGCTGTAGAGGATCTCGTATATCTAACATGCTCCACACTCCATAGCACAACTTCACCTAATCCTGGTCAAATGGCAAACTCTGAAACACTTGTCTATAATGTGTACCCAAGTTAGATTTCGGGCTACATCATAGGTGATCCTCCTCCTCCCTAGGAGACTGACTGTTTGAGAGGAGGAAGGGAGTACAGTATGTCTGCCTGCAACCTTGGCTTCCAAAACTCTGCTGTCTTTGACAGAGGGATGAGCCAGTGGAAAATGCTGCATAGGAATGTTTATCATAGGTGATCCTCCTCCTCCCCAGGAAATTGAGTGTTTGAGAGGAGGAAGGGAGTACAGTACAGTATGTCTGCCTGCAACCTTCTGAAACTCTGCTGTCTTTGATGGAATGAGGTAGAGTGACCCAGTGGAAAATGCTGCATAGGAATGTTTAAGCTTACAAATGCTATGTCTCAGGACTTTCTTCACTCTGATAAGACAACATAAATGGGTTTAAATTCCAAGTTACTTCCTGGACCATTCCAAATAGTTGTTGTGCCTTTTTTAGTCACTTCTCCTGGCTTAATTTTTTGCTATCCTATAAGCTTCTGTTATCAATAAACTATTGTGTTTTTTAAACTAAGAAGCATACATGTTTTCCAAGGGAGGAGATGAGACAGAGCAGATCTTTCCATACTTTTCTCTGTGCAAAAAAAGGAGAATAACCAACAAAATGTTTTTTAGTTAGCCGGTTCTCAAGCCACTTAGAACTGTAACGGTAACAACCAAATAGTACTTCAACTTAATTTTTTGCTATCCTGTAAGCTTCTGTTATCAACAAAATGTTGTGCATACAAGTTGTCCTTTTCCAAGGGAGGGGATGAGACGGGGCAGATCTTTCCATACTTTTCTCTGTGCAAAAAAGGAGAATAACCTAATCCTGCCAACAAGATTTTTTTTAGTTAGCCGGTTCTTAAGCCACTCAGAATTGTAACGGTAACAACCAAATAGTACTTCAAAGAGCTATGTCACCCTATGTATGGCCTTTGAACTCCCTAGACAAATATGCTTTTTTTTTTTGTACTTTTGCGTGATTTGAGGCGTGATGGTGCGGGTTCTGAGAACTCTCCTGGTGTTTGTGTGGGTCAGCCTGAAGCAGCCGTTGCGATTCATGCTTGCAGAAGTATGTCGTGAACAGGGCCAGTGTGTGCTCTGACCCAGATGTTTTGGGCACCTCCCATCGGATCACACCCCTGTGCATGCGAGTGAATTGCCACTTTGTGCCAGAAGGTACAGCCACCCCAATTCTACTCTGTTCTCTTGTTTTCATTAATGTGAGTTCTTGGATTCAAAATCTTTTTTTCTTGTCCTCTTTTTTTTTTCTTCTTCTTCAGCTGAGTAAACATTTTCCACCGCACATAAAACTCACCTTGGCACTAATAAGCTTCCCCCCCTCCCCATTTGCCACCTCTGTGCTTTTGGCAGACCGGGAGGGGGGGGGAGAAAGGGTCTTATTACCTGGCTTATGATCCGCATGGGACTGCAATTTACGGAGTATGTTTGAGAAAGTTTCATAGTGGGAGAGAGAGAACCCAACCCAAGCCTAAATTCATTTATAGCCTACATAAAGCCCCACAAGGCATTTTGAGAGAGGAGAAAGGGTTTAGAAGAAGAAAAGAGCGCTTGGTCTCTTTCGAAAGATTGCATTGCCTCCAGACTCCATCTTGATTCCTAGAGAATGGGTTCTAATGAAGTTACTGGATGCTCTGTTGCAGAAGTAAATCTGGGTTTGGATGGGAAACCGTCAGCAATGAGGAAAGAATATCGACAAAAATGTGACTGTCCATTCACTTGGGACAAATCAGTTTCCAGGGGGGAAAAAAAGGAGAACTGTAATGGTTAACCTCTTGTTCCCATATTAAAAAAAAAGTCAAAAAGAAATATTTTGATGAGTGCTGGCTTTATGTTTTTGAAGTTTTTAGGTAAAGTACTCTCAGTTAGTGACTTCTCTAAGGCCACCTACTTTCTCTCTCTCCCACCAAAAGACTGATTTCCAGCTATCTAGAGGAACTGGTCGAAGCTAGTTGCTACTCTTCCTACCTGCTGGTGCAGAGAGAGTGGATGACCACATTGAATTGGTGGGAGGACCATTAATACGTAGAGCCAGTTGGCCCCTGATGGCAGATGGGCTTTGGCAGGGGTTAGATCATGCCAGCTCCCAAGGAAATCCTGGGGTTTTTAGCTAGTTTTCCTCGTGGGCTTACCTTCCATACGAAGAGCCAGCAGTAGGGTCTTAAAGTATCCCAACTGTAAACACTTATTGCCTGGGTGTTGAGCTTGTTCCAATTTGTTAGCATCCTTCTTGAAGTGTGGTGTCCAGAACTGGATACAAGACTCAAGGTGAGGCCTAACCAGTGCTGCATAGAGGGGGACAAGTACCTTGTGGGATTTGGAAACTATATTGTTATTAATGCAGCCTAAAACAGTATTGCCTTTTTCGTAGCCACATCACACTGTTGGCTCATATTTAGCTTGTAATCTATGACAATTCCAAGATCCTTCTCGCTCATAGTTTTGCTGAGCCAGGTATTCCCCCATAACTGTGCAATTGGTTTCCTTTTCCCAGGTGCACTACTTTGCACTTACCCTGTTGAATTT